AATAGTAGCTGCCGTGTTTCAGGTACAGCATCAGGTTCCAGAGACACAAGGGATGAAACCACAGGCAGTCTAGTGGAGGAGACAGGACAAAACATAATCACTCAACTGAATGTGATTGTGCATGTAATCAGCGAGTACGTCCTGGTCAAGGTGCTTTAGCTCAGTGCCTGGCACAGCCAGCATTCGAACACATAAGAAAAGTCAGCTGCCGTGTTGGCAGTTGTTCCTGTTTTCTTGTGATTTAACAAGTGAGGACACTGGGCTGCTCAAAGTCACACGGCTGTGAAGAAGGCTGGGAACGTGGGAAGTGAGAGAGAAGCGTGGGCATCGGAGGACTGATCAGTCTCAGCTAGGTGCTGCGCTTCGGGCCCCGGCAGGGTGGATGGGCCGCCGCCTGAGGGGCACCGCCGTGCCAGCCTTTTTTCCTGACTTCCCCAGGGTTGCAGACGGCTGCAGGGCGACCCCTGGGCAGAGATCTAGCCGTAGTCCGTCCATCCCCTGCCTGGATGGGCCTGGCTTCAGACAGCTGTCAGACTTGAGCCTGCAGACTGAGGTGGGGAGCCAACACGCAAAAGGGGCTCAGCCCAGGGACGGCCACCTTGCCTCTCATTCTTGCCTCAGGGCCTTTGCATTTGTTGCTTCTGCTGAAACTCGCTTTTTTTTTGACCCGAGATTTTTGATCCTCTTTTGGCCACTTCCACCTTGCCATTCAGCTCTCGGCTCAAACCTCACTTCCCCAGGGAGACCTTCTCTCACCACTCCACCTGTGTCAGTCCCCCAGGTATTCTCTGTCACCTCCCCGTGACTTACTGCCTTCAAAACCCCATCATCTCTGGAATTGTCTTGTCCCTTGTCCTCTCTGCTTTACACCAGGACAGGTTACTCAACCTGTTTTCCTTACTGCCACTCACCTAAGGCGTCATTTTCAGCATTCTTGTCCTAATTGCCTTCTCATGACATCTGAATGCCACAGCTGCACTCCAGGTCTCTCTATGTGCTGTGGCCACGTGGAAAGCCCCGGACCACTGTAGTATCCAAGAATGTTTGCCTCGGCCCCCTGGAGGTGATAACCCTCCCATTGAGAACACAGACTGGAACAGAAGCTCCATAAAAGCAGAGATCTTTGTCTTGTTCACACCCCACTGCTGCATCTCCCGTACCGGGCTTGGAGCATGGTTAGCACGCAAGAAACAGGCACGGTGCAGGTGCCTGGCTGGCTCAGTGGGTAGAGAGGGCATGCACTCTTGATCTCAGGATCAGGAGTCAGTGGAGAGCTTACTTTAAAAAAAGAAAAAAAAGAAAGAAAAGAAGACATATTTACGGTATGAATGAAAATCCAAAAACCCTAGAAGCACAAAGATCTTTTTCATGGGGTCTTACAAGCCGCATAGCAGTTGGCTAACCAAGGAGGATGATATGGGGAGGGTGACCAGTCAAGAGGACACAGAGGGGTGAGGAGCACCCTTCAGTGTGTTGGGTGGGGCCCTTCCATGTATGTGGCCAGGACTGTTGGAGGCAGGATCTTTAAAGTGGTCCCAGCTTTGGCTTCTCCTGGGGACCCTGGTTCTTGGCTCACCACCCTGAAGGGCCCTGATGCCAAGTCAGGGGACACCGGTTCCTAGTCAGGCCCTACCACACCCCAACTGTGTGAAACCTTAGAATGAGCAGGTTCATTGGTCCTTCTAACTTGTGAGGGTCTGGCTGGCTGGGGAGTCCATGAATCCCATGGCACCGGTCACAGCTACAAAGACCTACCCCACTTTGCTGCCACCTAAGCTGAGAACGCAGACAGCCCCGTGCCTGGGTCCCTTGAAAGCCTCTGGGATATCAGAGACTTCCTTGCACCCCAGATTTCCATCTCACCCTCTGGCCCACCATGCCAGCTCTGGCTGAAAGTAGTGGGAGCCATTGAGGAGCACCAGGGCTTATCTCTGCTTTTCCAGAACCAGGCTGCGCAGCAGTGCTGTTTGTTTATCCAGGGCAACCGCCCACTGAGAAAATGGCTGTGTTTGTTTCCAAGTGTGTCGTGTGAACCTTGAGCTAAATATACCCACGCCACTGCCTCCCCAGCACCGCCCTGCAGTAGCACACCCCATTTTGCTCGTGTTCTGTCTACAAAAGCAGTCCCCAGAATCCCGGGCCCCTGGAAATCCTACTCCGCCTCCCCAGGAGAAGGATCTCCTAATGAAGGTCATCCTGTCCAGGAATGCATGGGGGTGGGGGAGGGGTTGTGCATGTCAGAGTCTTGTTCTCTATGGCACTGAAATGAGAATGTACCCTCCACCCTGGAATGACTGTTCCTGGACAGTGAGTGCTTTGTGCCCTTGCAGGGACAGGGCCTGTTTACTCCAACACAGCCCCAGAGAGGAAAGTTTCCCGCGGCTGCCAGCCCTCTAATTTAGGAAAGTTCCCATCGAGAGAGCCAGGCCTCTCCCACTTTGGCTGCAACCCCAGTGTCCCTGGTTTCTTATGAGACATTGGGCCCCTTGGGATAGCCAGTCCTTCTGGCCTTGGCCTCACTCCTCCCATGCCCCCGACAGCCCAGGAGTCTTTCCCCCATCACAAATCCATCTTTTTTTGTGACTCCACTTGGGCCTCCTTCATCTAGGACACGTAGGACCAGAAAAATTACAACTCTGGTAAGAATTTCCTTGTCCGCCAGCACCCATGAGGCTAGCCAGGATGAGGGACAAGACGAAAGCATGTCCACACCAGCGATGCCTGGGCAGTGAGCAGGCCAGAGAGTGAGGAGCCTGGCTGCTGCCACACCACTGCCCTTCTCTCTCCAGACCCAAGGCTCCTCCTCAGCTCCACCCCGTCTTTCTAGAATCCCATCTTAGTGCTACTGACAGGACAGATCATCCTAGCCCCCCCCGCACAGAGAAGTGTCCTGCTACAGTGCACTTCCTTTGGAGCTGAGTATCCCTGTGTTCTGCCACCGTTACATAAGCTGGGTGACCCCAGGCAAGGTCCTCCCTCTCCAGTGTGAAATGGGGCTCAGATCTACCTGATGAAGGTGAAGTGGGTAACTGCCTGGCACTTCGTAGACTTGTAGTACCTTCATTCTGCTCATGTATTTATTGAGCACCAACATGTACCAGACACTGTCCCGGGCACTGGGTCTATGGAGACAAGACAGGATCTCTGCCCTCCTCAAGCCGCCCCTCATGCAGGAGACAAAGTGTTGAATCTGTCCATTATGAACAGTTATGAAAAGTGCTGGGGAGAAAAACAAAGCAGGGTCAGTGAGAGGACAGGTAGAGATGACAATGGGTACCATTTTAGATGAGGTGGCCAAGGCAGGCCTCTCTGAGGAGATGACATTTGAGCAGAGTCGGGGGCAAGGTGGATGGTGAACCGGGGTCAAGTGCTCCAGGCAGTGAGAACAAGCCCCCAAGCAGATGATGGAGGAAAAGCAAGGAGGCCCCTGTGGTGAGTGTGCAGCAGGGAAGGGCAGGTCCTACGAGACCTAGAGGACCGAGGACTTGATTCCAGGTGTGATGGAAGCCTTGGGAAGGCCGAGAGCTTGGGATGAGATGGGGAGGAGTGAGCTGGCCTGAACGGAGGGGCTTTTTCTGGTGGGTTTCCACCCATCTGTGGTGAACTTTCTGCTAAGGGCTGCAGCTCCTGTGACACCGCTGCTTCCCTAAGGGCTTAATGAACACAGAGTCTTTGCGTCATTTTGGCCATTCAGTGCGCAGGGTGCTCTGCTGGTACCAGGACATGAGCAAAAATGACACTGGCTTTCCAAGAGCAAGGGATGGCTGCTGGAGGACTTGAAGCCCAGGCATGCCATGATCTGATCCGTGTTCTTAAAGATCCTCGATGTGGAGCATGGACTGAGGGGGTTGTCAAGACCAGAAGTAGGGCCAGGCACACGTCACAGTGAGCAAACTGTGGTGGAACCTGGAACCAGCTAGTCTGAGGGAGCAGCCACCACTCAGCCAGTTGGGAGCAGGTGGAAACGAGGGCCGGCCATGTGAGTTCTTGGTGGAGAGGAGGAACAGGGGGCCTGGACAGCAGGCGATCCATTCACACTCCAGACACACACCTCCCTGGGCCCAGAGGCCCCTGGTCTGTAAATGGGAAGAGGGGGTCTGCACTGCAGCATTGTTGGGAGGATTGGGGGACAGACAAATCAGGAGCAAAGCTTACTCAGAGGGTCCTGCAAGCCCCCTCTCCCTGCCCCACAGGCTGGCTCCACCCTGGGCTGGATAACTTAACCCACAGCCCTACCTTCCCCGTATCATGTGCTTCCCTCCTGACTGGCCTCAGGGCTGAAGGCTGTTGCTCACCTCCTCTGGGGCCCAGAGTCACGCCCCCTGGGGGCAGGCCGGAGGACATGGACAGGGCCTCAGAGATCCCATCCCAGTCCTGCATGGTCATTGCTACCCCTCTCCTCTGCCCTCCTCTGTCTAACCGTCACTCACCCTGGCCAGAGACTCCCTCCAGAGGGAGAGGGGGCCTCTGACTCATAATCCCCAGACTTGACGCCGGGAATTTAGCCCCATCTCTCCTTCCCCGCTCCCTCCCTCTGTCCCAGCAGTGGGAAGGCTACTCACAGACTCAGCTCTGTGCTCCTCCTCCTCGTCTGCTTCCAGTCTGTGCTGGGGCCGGGTCTCACTCACCACTTTACCCTCCTCTCCCCTGTCCCCTTCTTTCCTGCCCTCTGCTCCAGCCACCTAGCTTCCTGTCACTTCCCTGCCCCTGCCTGTCTCTTTCCCGCATGCTCTCCAGTACCACTTTTCAGCCAGCTCGCCTCCCGAGGCTCATTCCCAGCTTTGCACCCGTCATCTCAGCAATAATGTGTGTTGGCCATCCCCAGCTGGGCACCAGCAAAGAGGGCAGCCCTTAACCCTTTATCTCCTCTCCCAGAGGAGGCACGGATGGCTCTAGTTTTTCAAATCACCATTGCAGCAGATGGCCCCCTTCTGCCAGCTACCCATGTTACTGTCAGAGGACTCAAACAGCACCTTCCTTTCTCTTCTCTCTCCCTGCAGGACACTTTTGTGGAACTCTACGGGAACAACGCAGCGGCCGAGAGCCGGAAGGGCCAGGAGCGCTTCAACCGCTGGTTCCTGACAGGCATGACTGTGGCTGGCGTGGTTCTGCTGGGCTCGCTCTTCAGTCGGAAATGACCAGACACTGACCACCCACTTACCCTCCCACCTCTGCCCTGCCCCCACCACATCCCTTTATCCAGCAACCATTGCCACCAGGAGAACCACTACATGCAACCTGTGGCCACCTACCCATCACAGGGTGGGGCCTAGACCTGGTCCCCCGCAATTAGTTTTCTAGACTCTACCATGCTTCTGTGAAAGCCGCCTTCCCCACACCTCCGTTCTCCTGGCCTCAGAACCCACAGAGTTTCCCCAAAATCTGCCCATGGAAGCTGGCAGGTGTGGGGGTGTATGCGGTCGGGGGCTGGGGGGCCCTGCCTGATTGGTGGAACCCACGCCCACCCCACCCCGACCTCAGCCTCCCTGAGAATGCTTTGCTGCCGGGGAGCTGGAAAGTCTTCTGACCCTTTTCCCCAGGAGAGACTAGATTGCCTTCGTTTTGATGTTTGTGGCCTCAGAATTGATCATTCCCTCTCCCTTCCAGGATCTAGATCCCCTTCCTATCATCCCCACCTTCCCAAGAGCCACTTAGGGGCCACTTTTGACTAATTAGGGATTCAAGCTGCTTGGGATAAAGAAACAAGGACCAGGACCCCCTCCCCGCCTCTGGCCTGGCCAGAGTCCCTGACCCCAATCCCAGTGTCCTCCAGAGGCCTCTGGCTAGAGGCCAGCCCCACCCAGGAGGGAGGGGGCTGTAGCTGCAGGAAGCACCCCATGCCAAAGCTAAGGTGGCCCTTGCAGTTTAGCACCACCCTAGTTCCTTTCCCCTTCCCTTCCCCTGGCTCCCATGACCATGACTAAGGGACCAACTGGGCCCAAGGCAGGTGCCCCAGAGCTGTTTATGGCCTCCGCTGCCTCACTTCCTGCGAGAAGATCAGCCTGGGGCATCTTTGCTTTGGGCTTCTGCCTACGGAGTCCAGGGGTTCAGGGGCCTTGGCCCAGAGGTGAAGGGGAGCTACAGGGAGCAGCTGTGGGAGCCCTAGAGTCTTCCCTACCTCAGGCAGGAAGGGCAGGAAGGAGACCCTGATGCACGAGGTGTCGGTGGGGGTGGCTAGAAGGGCCAGTCCTACCTGGTCAACGTAGGTGTGCCCCACCCCCGTTCAGCCTGGGTCGCCAGGCTGCCAAGGTCGGAGTGGCCTGGCCAGGAGTCCTTCAGGCCTCCCTCTTCTCTACTCCACCCAAGGTCTGTCTCATCCCTGGGGGTCCCGGCCTACCCCTAGCCATCCCGGGCTCTCTGCTGTACATATTCGAGACTAGTTTTTATTCCTTGTGAAGATGATATACTATTTTTGTTAAGCGTGTCTGTATTTATGTGTGAGGAGCTGCTGGCTTGCTGTGCGCGTGCACGTGGAGAGCTGGTGCCCGGAGACTGAACGGCCTGATGCTCCCTCCCCCGCCCTGGTCTGGGGAAGCCAGCTGGGGGTCCTGGCTCCTGAGGGGCACTTGTCCCCCCCACCCCCCACTCAGCCCCCACCCCACACTTGTTCCAGCTCTTTGAAATAGTCTGTGTGAAGGTGAAAGTGCAGTTCAGTAATAAACTGTGTTGATTCAGTGAGCAAAGGGCCTGGGCTCTTGTGCGCCCCGGGCTGGGGGAGGAGGGGCTTTGCGGCTGGCTGCGGGGCAGTGGTGCAGTAGGGGTGCTCCCTCTGGGCCTGAGTTTCTCCGCCTGCACATCGATGGGGTTTTTATTGAGTGCCTGCTGTGTGCCAAGCGCTGGGGCTGTGTGTGAACAGGACGGACACAATCCCTGCCCCCAGGAACCGACATTGGGGGGGGCGGGGGGAAGAAACTGCCACTTGGCAGGTATTCCCTGAGGCACAGGCACCGACCTAGAGCCCTGGGGATTCTGCAGTGAACGCAGCCGCCCGTTACGGAACTCCCATTCTCTGGAAGACACATGCAAGGATGCGTCTGGTGCTGGAGGGCAAAGGGGCAATCTGGGTGACCGTGAGGAAGGACGGCAAGACTCACAAAGGAACTAGCGGGGAAGGAGGCAGGAAGAAGTCAGACTTGAGGTAACATTTCAATAGATCCCACAGGATTTACTGATGGATTAGAGATCAGTCAAGAAAGAAGAGTCAGGGTGATCTGGAGTTTTTGGAAAAGTGACACCATTATAATTACCAAAGTGAAGCCCGTTTCTGAGGCCAGTGCAACTTAAGAGGCTCAGAGTGAGTGCCCCGACAGTGTTTCCTATGGGCCCTGAGCCTGTCTGGGAGTCAGGAGTCCAGGAAGGCTCCCGAGAGGAAGTAATGAGAGCGAGGGCCGGAAGAATGTACGAGTTAACTAAAAGAATGTGGGGGAGCAAGAAGAGTGGTCCTGGTGGAGAAGAAGCAGGTGCTTCAGGCTGATGAGTAAGTTTTCTTCAGGCTGAAGGAAGAGTGATGTGTCCAGGTGAGGAAGCTTCCTGGGCCAAGGTGATGCCAGAGAGGTGGCATGAGGGGACTGAACTTGATCCTGAGGGGAGTGAGAGCCAGACGGAAGTTGTGAGGGGATGATATGCCCACTTAGAGCTCCAAAACACCCTCTAGCAGCTGTGTGGAGAAGGTTCTGGAGGGGAGCAGAGTAGGAACCTGGAGACCAGTGAAGGAGGCATGGTTTGATCAAGGCTCTGGTTCTCAGGGTGGACCAGTCAGGTGTGTTTCCTGGGTCACCCTTCCTGGGTTTGTGACTTTGGGCAAGTTACCTGCCTTCTCTGGGCTCCAACTTTCCCCTCCGTAAATGGGATTGATGGCAGTACCCATCTCACACGATTGTGGTCGAGATTGAATGAAACAACCCAACAGCGCTTGCGGGAGTCTGGTTGGGGGGGGGGGGGTGCGCGGCAGCGATGACCCCGCCGTCGGGCGGTCTCTCCAGGAGGAGAAAGGAGGTGCTCGCTAGAGAGGTCCACTTTTAGTATCCGCGGGAGGTCCAGGAGAGGTCTGGGAAAGCGAGGACTCCGTGGGCGGGCGCTCCAGCCAGGGACGGAGCTGGAGGTGGGAACCTGCCTCGGACGCCCCGCCCCTCACGCACGCCTTCAGGAGCAGGCTTGGCTGCCCCCTGGTGGTCGAGGCGGGTGAGACCTGAAGCCACGCCCACTGCCGCTGCCCTCCGCTGCGCCCATGACTTCTGTTTCCCAGCTGGCCAGCTTCCCCCGTTGTTCTCCGTCCGCCGTCCTGCTCCCCAGAAGAACCCCTACACTTGCAGTCGTTGGGTACTGGGTTCAGAGCTTGCCACGGCTGTCCCAGTGCTCAGGGTCGTCATTCGGCTTAGTTCAACACCAAAACCTCCAGCCTTTCCCCCTGCCCCCAACAATGTGTCCCTTGCCGCTTAGCCACTCAGCCCCCTCTCCAGATTGTTGATCCTTCTGGAAACATCTTTTCACGCACAAATACATAGACATAAACGTATTTTTATCCCCTCTCCCTGCCTTTTTTACACAAATGGAAACAGACACACTGCCTTGCATTTCCCCCCTAAATAATGTATCTTACAGAAATTTCCCTATTCATACAATAATCCCCGTGTACGATCATACAGCTTCAACAGTTGTCAGTACTCATGGCAGCTTCATTATTTTTTCTAGCTGTGTAGTATTTTAACCAGACCTCTATCTAACTCAGTGATTTCCAATCTTATACATGCTATGGCACATGCATAAAACATTGGAATTGCACACTGAGGAGAAGTTGGAAGCAGTTTCAGACTGTCCATGTGGGTCCGGAGAGGGGGGCGGAATTCATTTCTATATACTATATTTATAATGAGAAAAATGAAATACATTTCATAATGAACTTTGAAACAGCAATATACCTATTTTAAAATGTATTTCTTAAGAAACACAAATATCACATGAACGTTTATAATCAAAATGATTCACACAATTTTCGATCATGGCTTATTAATGATGATCTTTTCAAATTCTTGGTAGTCGGCATTAACAAGAGACTGCATAGCTGCAAGTAGGTGCTAAAAAAAATTTTAACCATCCCAAAGCTTACCATTGAAATTATATGTTGAAATATAATTTATGGTTTTATGTATAAGCATATAAACAACAGCACTTCCCTTTACTTAATTGACAAATATAATGTATTCAAGTGGATTTCAAATCCAAATGAACTTTTTCATTTCAGGTATTTTATATTAATGATGAGTTCCAGAACACAGGAAATGACATAAAGCTTTCCAGTCTCTCTCTCTCTTTTTTTTTTTTTTTTTTTTTTGAGAAAATCGTAACTTACTAAAACTAGGCAAGAGGGAGAAAAGAAGGAAAGAAGGCAGGGACAGACTTTGTGGTAAAACCATTTGAATTTCATAAGAACTCACTGGCTGTTTGCATGGAATTGTTCAAGCTAAGTGTTCATGTATGAGCCCTCAGGAATGGAGTAGCTTAAATCATTTAGGAGGGAATTAATACTTCATATGACCAGAATTCTAACATTAGAACATGGATATTTACTAAAAATCAAATTGGAGCTCAGTTGGTTAAGCATCTGACTCTTGATTTTAGCTAAGGTCACAATGTCATGGTTGGGTTTGTGAGATCGAGCCCCATGCCGGGCTCTGTGCTGAAAGAGCAGAGCCTGCTTGGGATTCTCTCTCTCCCTTTCTCTGCCTTTCCCCCACTTGCTCCTTCTGTCTCTCAGAATAGACGTTTTAAAAAAATTAAGTAAGACAAATTTATAGAGATAATATTTGTCAATCTTAAAATTTGAGGAAGTCATTCCTAAAACATCGATGCTTAAAAGTATCAAGGTGTCTGGCTGGCTCTTGATCTCGATCTCGGGGTTGTGAGTTCAAGCACCACAATAGATGTAAAAATTACTTAAAGATAAAATATTTTAAAAAACCAAACACCGAGGTACCAAGAATATAAGCATAAGATAGAAAAGTTCTGAAAATAAAAAGGAAAATAAACAATATAGTGGCTAGCTAACGAGATTGTTTGTAAATTTGTTGCTGAGCGGGAAAATGACCAGTGCCTCGTCAGGAAGGCTCGGCTCAAATCGCACTGCTTGTAAAAAACAGTGCCCCTCACTCCACCCGCTGCAAAACAAAACAACTGTTCCCTGTCCTATTGCCCTGTAAAAATAATCGCAATAAAGAAAAACAATGACAAAGCCCTTATTTGCCGGCCGTTGAGGTGGCAGGACACCCTCTGCAGCGGGTCGGCCACCCTGTTTAGACACATCTGTTTCACCTGGACTTTGGGCCAAGCTCCTGGGGTGCCTGGAAAACCGATTCCTCCAGTGGCTCCGCAGGCCTTGTGGAAGGAGCTCGTGCAGGATGGGCGGCCCCATGCCCTGTGGCTGATCCCTGCAGAAGACGTCCAGGAAGGAAGACCCCAACCTTGGCCATGCTCCACTCATCCTGGCGGAGCAGGGAGGGCCAGCGGAGCCAGACGCAGGCTGTGTAGCGGTTAGGAGCAGGGCTCTGAAGCCACGCTTCCTGCGATAGTCCGTGTCCTCCGACAAGTGTCTTCCCCTCTCTGTGCCTTTCTTCACCTGTAAAATGGAGATGATGATAATAGGTAGTTATGCAGATTTAGTGCCAGTTCTATGCCTGTGAAGTGCTTACGAATGGCGTCTGGCACCATAAATGCACCTGTTCTAGGCTATGCTGTCAGACCATCCCCTTCGTTACCCCCCATCGCTGCTCTTAAGGACCCCTGAGGGGTGTAGTCTTGGGACTCCAACTGCCCCAAGCTCTGTCTCATTATGGATGGCCACTACAAGCAAAGTCTAAAGTAAGGATTCAGGTGTAAGTAGGTTGAGTGGTGATCCTAGGACAGAAGGGACAGTGAGACAGGGAAGGGCACGAAGCCAATACAGCGTGCAGTCACATGTAAATTGCCACTTTGGACCATGGGGCTCCTTTCCAGGGCATCCTTTGAAAACCTTGTAGAACATTCTAGGGCCAAGAGCATCAATGTCTTCATCGAACAACCCCCGTCCCTCATTGCCCGAGGGCTGCTCCCGAGCTATTTCTCCGCAGCGTTTGGCACTTTCTGCCTGCCCCATGCTTGGGCCCGGCGTAAACCTACGGTCAAAAGGCCCCCGTTCCTTGAATGAGAACTGTCCACCAGCGTCACACATGACCTCTGAGGGTGGGCTTGAGGGCACGCGGCCGGGGCAACAACACGTCTGCCACAGCTCACGAAACTGTGTGGCGCACCAGCTGGGAAACTCTCCTCTCGGGAGGAACAATGTCTCCCTCAACTTCTGCTAATCCAAACAGCACTGCAGTCAACAGCCTGGTGTATCCATCACTTTGCACACACACATGTACACCCACGGGATATTCATAGAAGTAGAGTCGCTGGGCCAAGGGATATATGCATGTGTTGTTTTGATGGAGACAGCCAAAGCTGTCATCGTGTGGAACTGCGTGTCCCCTGCACCCTTGCCAACATCTGCGTTAACACTCTTTGATCTTTGTCAATCTGGTTGGTGGAAAAAAATAGCATCCTATACTTTAAAATTTCATTTTCAAAACTCTAATTGAGGTTGGCATCTTTTAATAATTTGAGAGCCATCTGTATCCCTGATAAGTTAATGAATCCACCCAATG